CCCGAACTTGCTCGCCAGAAAACTTCAGTACAACTCTACCAGGGCCCGCTTAAAAAGCAAATTTCTTCTACATTAATCAACAATAGATAGGATCTTCGACAAATCACTGGCAATGGTCAGATGATTTGTATTTTGCCAACGCCTTCAGTTTTATGTCAAATATTTTACTTGTTGTCCGTTTCAGGACAGTTGTAAAAATTATTAAAATAATAAAAAAAATACTGGTGTGTGTCTACCCTTAATAATAGGAATTTTGTGTGTCCAACTTCAGCTCGTTAAAAATAAAATGGTTTCTTATTGGAACACTTCAGTTTGTTTATTATAACCTAAAAATCAGCATGCGTTTAATTTTTCTGTTGAGAAAGTTCGTTGTGTAATAATTATAATAATTTAGAAATAAATGTGTTATATTTAGTGTTTAGTGATAATTTAAAACAAATGTGTGAATAATTATTGTTTAAATGGTGATTAAATTGTGCAACCAATAGTGTAGTTTTAATAGTGTCTCAACACAAAAAACAGATTAAAATAATTTAGACAATTGTTGGTTTATAATATATTTACACATCGATAAACATTCGGGATATTATTTCAAATTCATCACGTTATTTTGTTTAAAGTCTAATTATAAATAATTAGAATCTCAATGAGCTACAAACTGATTTTTTTTATATTAATAGTGTTTGATTTGTTGTTGCGTCATATACAGTGCAACCCCGGTTAAGACGATCATGCTTAATACGATTACCCGTATATCACGTCTCTGCAGTTTGCATATCCCGCATCATACGACTTCTCGCTTAAGACACGTTTATAGTCCCTGGAAGTGGGATTTTACTCTGCATATTAAAGGAATCTTCTATGGACAGTAAAAATATAGTAAGTTTTTAGATTCTATTAAATTTACTTTTACTGTGCCTGTTTTTATAATTGCTTAAGCATATACATTTTATTTTATACACATTAAAGTAAATCTTTATTTTATTATTGGTGTCATCGATAAGGTGTTTTAGTTGTAAACTAAAATTTGTTGAATACATTTGAGGTGACTGATGAGTTTAAATTTCTGAAACTAAATAGAAATATGGTGCTATTAATAATATTATAAAATATTTTATAATATATAACTAAATAATGATTATTAAGTTTACTGGTCATCTATAATGTATCCAGACGAAAAATATGTTTAACGAGTCAAGTATTTAAAAACTTGTATTATACTTTATTCAATTTATAAATTATGTATACGATTCGACGAGCTGTATTTAATCTGTTAATAAACCATTTTAAACATTTTGTTACTCCTAATTCTTATTGAAAACTAAGAAGAGTGAGTTTACTACAAAAACTTCTTATCCAAGACACAGAAGAGTAAGTTTACTACAAAAACTTCTTATCGAAGACACAGAAGAGTCAATTAACTACAAAAACTTCTTATCGAAGACCTAGAAGAGTCAGTTTTCTACAAAAACTTCTTACTTAATCCCCAGAAGAGTCAGTTTACTACAAAAACTTCTTAACGAAGTCACAGAAGAGTCAGTTTACTACAAAGACTTCTTGTAGAAGACCTAGAAGGGTCAGTTTACTACAACAACTCCTTATTAAAGACACAGATGGGTCAGTTTACTACAAAGACTTCTTGTAGAAGACCTAGAAGAGTCAGTTTACTACAAAGACTTCTTGTAGAAGATACAGAAGACTTAGTTTACTACAAAAACTTCTTACCGAAGTCACAGAAGAGTCAATTAACTACAAAGACTTCTTGTAGAAGATACAGAAGAGTCAGTTTACTACAAAGACTTCTTGTAGGAGATACAGAAGACTTAGTTTACTACAAAAACTTCTTACCGAAGTCACAGAAGAGTCAATTAACTACAAAGACTTCTTGTAGAAGATACAGAAGAGTCAGTTTACTACAAAGACTTCTTGTAGGAGATACAGAAGACTTAGTTTACTACAAAAACTTCTTACCGAAGACACAGAAGAGTCAGTTTACTACACAAACGTCTTTCTGAAGACACAGAAGAGTCAGTTTACTACAACAACTCCTTATTAAAGACACAGATGAGTCAGTTTACTACAAAAACGTCTTTCTGAAGACACAGAAGAGTCAGTTTACTATAACAACTCCTTATTAAAGACACAGAAGAGTCAGTTTACTACAAAGACTTCTTGTAGAAGACCTAGAAGAGTCAGTTTACTACAAAAACTTCTTATCCAAGACACAGAAGAGTAAGTTTACTACAAAAACTTTTTATTGAAGATACAGAAGAGTCAGTTTACTACAAAGACTTCTTGTAGAAGATACAGAAGAGTCAGTTTACTACAAAAACGTCTTTCCGAAGACACAGAAGAGTCAGTTTACTACAACAACTCCTTATTATAGACACAGAGGAGTCAGTTTACTACAAAGACTTCTTGTAGAAGACACAGATGAGTCAGTTTACTAGAAAAACTTCTTATCCAAGACACAGAAGAGTAAGTTTACTACAAAAACTTTTTATTGAAGATAGAGAAGAGTCAGTTTACTACAAAGACTTCTTGTAGAAGACCTAGAAGAGTCAGTTTACTACAAAGACTTCTTGTAGAAGATACAGAAGACTTAGTTTACTACAAAAACTTCTTACCGAAGTCACAGAAGAGTCAATTAACTACAAAGACTTCTTGTAGAAGATACAGAAGAGTCAGTTTACTACAAAGACTTCTTGTAGGAGATACAGAAGACTTAGTTTACTACAAAAACTTCTTACCGAAGTCACAGAAGAGTCAATTAACTACAAAGACTTCTTGTAGAAGATACAGAAGAGTCAGTTTACTACAAAGACTTCTTGTAGGAGATACAGAAGACTTAGTTTACTACAAAAACTTCTTACCGAAGACACAGAAGAGTCAGTTTACTACACAAACGTCTTTCTGAAGACACAGAAGAGTCAGTTTACTACAACAACTCCTTATTAAAGACACAGATGAGTCAGTTTACTACAAAAACGTCTTTCTGAAGACACAGAAGAGTCAGTTTACTATAACAACTCCTTATTAAAGACACAGAAGAGTCAGTTTACTACAAAGACTTCTTGTAGAAGAACTAGAAGAGTCAGTTTACTACAAAAACTTCTTATCCAAGACACAGAAGAGTAAGTTTACTACAAAAACTTTTTATTGAAGATACAGAAGAGTCAGTTTACTACAAAGACTTCTTGTAGAAGATACAGAAGAGTCAGTTTACTACAAAAACGTCTTTCCGAAGACACAGAAGAGTCAGTTTACTACAACAACTCCTTATTATAGACACAGAGGAGTCAGTTTACTACAAAGACTTCTTGTAGAAGACACAGATGAGTCAGTTTACTAGAAAAACTTCTTATCCAAGACACAGAAGAGTAAGTTTACTACAAAAACTTTTTATTGAAGATAGAGAAGAGTCAGTTTACTACAAAGACTTCTTGTAGAAGACCTAGAAGAGTCAGTTTACTACAAAGACTTCTTGTAGAAGATACAGAAGACTTAGTTTACTACAAAAACTTCTTACCGAAGTCACAGAAGAGTCAATTAACTACAAAGACTTCTTGTAGAAGATACAGAAGAGTCAGTTTACTACAAAGACTTCTTGTAGGAGATACAGAAGACTTAGTTTACTACAAAAACTTCTTACCGAAGTCACAGAAGAGTCAATTAACTACAAAGACTTCTTGTAGAAGATACAGAAGAGTCAGTTTACTACAAAGACTTCTTGTAGGAGATACAGAAGACTTAGTTTACTACAAAAACTTCTTACCGAAGACACAGAAGAGTCAGTTTACTACACAAACGTCTTTCTGAAGACACAGAAGAGTCAGTTTACTACAACAACTCCTTATTAAAGACACAGATGAGTCAGTTTACTACAAAAACGTCTTTCTGAAGACACAGAAGAGTCAGTTTACTATAACAACTCCTTATTAAAGACACAGAAGAGTCAGTTTACTACAAAGACTTCTTGTAGAAGACCTAGAAGAGTCAGTTTACTACAAAAACTTCTTATCCAAGACACAGAAGAGTAAGTTTACTACAAAAACTTTTTATTGAAGATACAGAAGAGTCAGTTTACTACAAAGACTTCTTGTAGAAGATACAGAAGAGTCAGTTTACTACAAAAACGTCTTTCCGAAGACACAGAAGAGTCAGTTTACTACAACAACTCCTTATTATAGACACAGAGGAGTCAGTTTACTACGAAGACTTCTTGTAGAAGACACAGATGAGTCAGTTTACTAGAAAAACTTCTTATCCAAGACACAGAAGAGTAAGTTTACTACAAAAACTTTTTATTGAAGATAGAGAAGAGTCAGTTTACTACAAAGACTTCTTGTAGAAGACCTAGAAGAGTCAGTTTACTGCAAAAACTTCTTTTTGAAGACACAGAAAAGTCCGTTTAGTACAAAAACTTCTTCTAGAAGACACAGAAGGGTCAGTTTACTATAAAAACTTCTTATTGAAGAAGTTTTTGCAGCAAGCTGACTCTTCTGTGACTTTGATAAAAGTTTTTGTAGTTAACTGACTCTTTCGTGTCCCCGATTAGAAGTTTTTGTAGTATTTTACTTAAAAGAAACTTAATTATTATAACTACCTTTTTTGTCTGATAATATATCAAATCATTGTCGGGTTCTAGTAAAAGGCAAAATTTCACTTACATCTTAACTACATTAAATATGTTTTGTATCGAAATAAATAAACTAGAGATGCATGGCTCCGTGACTTAAAGCAAATTGCTGGAATTTCCTGTATCGCAATGAATTATTTAAAGAATTTTAAATGTTTTTAGCTTGAATTAATCTAACATCATAAGTACATGCAGCAATTCAATGTTCCTCTAATCATAAATTATTATTCAACAGATTTTATCATAGAATTAAACGCACATTTGTACTTTTTTTCTTTTTTATATGTTCATTGATAACAATCACTAAGTTTAAATAATCACAAATTTATAAAAAAAAAAACAAACTTGATTATACATAAAATTAAGATTTATCATCGCCAAGTTTGTTTTCCATCTTATGATTGATCTTCTGGTGTCTCAACAAGCTCGCAGCATATTTAAATTTCCTATCACAGTGAGGACATTGTACAGGTTCTACGTCTGCATGGCTCATCATATGCCTTGAAAGTTTAAACTCGTCACTGAAGGTCTTAAAACAAATCTGGCATGTAAAAGGTCGTTCCCCTGAGTGAGTTCTTTCGTGTCTCTGTAAACTACTTGGGTTTTTAAAATATTTTTCACAAAACGAGCATTTATATTTTCTATCAACGTCATGAATTTTGATGTGCTTTTCTAAACCAGTAGAGTTCGTATAAGCTTGATCACAAAACGTGCATTTAAAAGGCCTGTCTTCAGTGTGGCTTTTCATGTGATTAGTTAAATTACTCGGTTGCGTGAAAACTTTTTCACAATGTGGACATTTAAATGATTTTTCAGCTGAGTGAAGGTACATATGATTCGATAAGCTCGACGCTTGCCTGAAAGACTTGAAACAAATATTACACATAAAAGGGCGCTCACCAGTATGCGTTCTGAGGTGCGAGACTAAATTGCTTTTAACTAAGAATGTTCTATCGCAGATATCGCATTTGTGTGGACGTTCCCCTGTGTGTATTTTCTTATGTTCAGTCAAATGGCCTCGTTGGGAAAATGTCTTGGCACATTCTGAACATTTATAAGGCTTTTCAGATGTATGTATTCGATAATGTATTTTTAGGACATGTTTACGACTGAATTGTTTGCCGCATACATTGCAGATGTGGGTTTTTTCATTTGTGTGGGTTCTGATGTGTCGTAGAAGGGCATGATTGTATTCGAAGGATTTGTCACAGAAGGTACATTGGAAGGGTTTTTCGTTTATGCTATTCTGGTCTTGAGAGTCTTCTTCAATGATCTCTTCTTTTATCTCGTACTCTAGAGGATCAAAATTTGTAGAGGTAGTTTCGTCTTCTGAACATATTTCTGATTTGATATTTACTATTTCATGTACAATTTCATTTATCTCATTATTTTGTACACAAGTATCTGTTCCACAATCCATTTTGTGGAGGTTGAAATTACTAAATAATGGATTTCATTGCACACAACATATAATTTTCGTTATAAATAAATTCAGCTTCATTTTATTACTTAATACAAATTTATCAATACTATAATATAAATATAATAAATTAACTTATTTAATTATTATTATTTTGATTTAATAAATATTTTTTATAACCTATGAATATATGAAATGTCAAATTATCAATCATACCAACATATTACATTTAAAATAGGCAATAGTGGCTATTAGCTCTGCGGCGTCCAATCTGTGAGGCGCGTACATCAGTTTCTAGGACTCCATTTTCCGAAAATAACCCAAAAGTTTTGAAATGTTATGAAAAAATAAACAAACTAGTTGGTATTAGTATTTTGCCTCGAGGCAAGTTATATGAACTTCCCGATATGTGTAATTAATCGAATTAATCAATAAGAAATAAATTAATTTATGAGTTATTAAAAGTATTTTGAGTGAATTTATTACTCATAATTGAAAACGAAAGAACAAGTTGACTCGAGTATTTTCTAAAAGCAAATTTTCACAAATCAAGCATTGTTATAATTGAACCAGTTTCCGTAGGACTTTAATAATTTAGTATGTTTATTAAGACCAAGTACTCTATCGTTACACCCTATGTTTACTTATCTATGGTTACACCAAGTAAATTGTCTAATTTTAATTTTAACAAACGTCAAAAAAATACCCATTTTCTCTTTGATGATTTTTTAAAATTAAACTATTTGTCGTAAGACCGTAATATTTAAATAAGTTATATAAGACCATGGTATATATCATCAAAAAAAGTTTCATAAAAATCGGCTCAATTTTTTTTTCAACAACGAATTACAAGAAAACGGCTCGGTAAGTTTTCACCTAAAACTAATCAGTTTCATTCCCAACTAATATCTTTCGAACAGTTTTTGATTTTTTAAAATCGATTCGGTAGTATGAGCTTAAATGCGGACGAAAAGATTAACACTTTTTTCCAAATTTTAAAAGAACGCGTGACAAGCGATAGTCCTCATTGAGACACATCAAATGGTTTTTAAATTTCTGAAATCGGTTAAGGCGTTTTTGAGCAAACGTCGTTGAAAGGTCTAATTTTGACAAATGCCAAAAAACGATATCAATTTTTGCAAACTTTGACGAATTTTTAAAGCTAAACGAGTTGTCGTAGGGTCGGAATATTTTAGAAAGATCTTGAAGACTATGGTATCTACCGTCAAAAAAATAATAATAAAAATCGTTGAAAAATTTTTTTTCAACACTTTATTACAAGAAAACGGCCCAGCCGATCTCTACCAAGAACTCATCAGCATGATTCCCAACCAATATCTTCTGAACGGTTTTTGAATTTCCAAAATCGATTCAGAACTGCGGGCTAAAACGTTGACGAAAAATGTTTTACTTTTCTGCTATTTACAAAGAAACGGCTTGACTGATCGTTGCGCAAAATTGATAAACGCTAGTCCTCATCGCGATACATCGAATGGCTTTTAAATTTTTGAAATCGGTCCAGCCGTTTTAGAGAAAACGTCGATTTACGGCAAAATTCTGTTCACACACGCGCACACACACATACACACATACACACGCGTAAACACACACACATACTTTTTCCAAATTTGGTCTCATTTGATTCATAATGGCTTGAAACGTCGAGAAAACATAAAATTAGCGAATCGGATTTTTTGATGAAAAAATAAACTTCTCCTGCGGGAAGTTAAAAACTAGTGGTGTATGGCATCGTGCTTTAAGGCAAATTGGTGGAACTTCGCGCAGAGTAACGAAATCATCGAGGAATGTTAAATGTTTTCAAATAGATTATTATAAATACTGTATTGTCTAATATTTATTTATAAGAATTATATATACTGAATTACAAATTTAAAATTAATCATTTAAAATATATAAGTGAGCTTTAAAACTTCAGCTAGGAGTATTAAAATTAAAATCTAAATTGTTTTTAATATACAAAAAAAAAATTGGAAAAAAATTGATCCATCTCCAAAAGCAATAGTTTAGTCAACACAAGCAGTAAATTTTTTGAACCATTCAAATCAGGTTTTTAGCTCTCTCAAAAACTGCCATTTTTTGTACATTCAACTCGGTATCTCCGAAACCGCTAGACCTGTTTTTTCCAAAAACGAATTAGCACTTTTCTCCATCATCACGAATTGAATGTTTTTTAGATCATTGAAATCGGATGCTCCGTTCCCTCAAAAAGTCGATTTTTATTTTCTGCACTCTTTGCTCCGTATCTACTTAAAGGCTGGACCTGCCTTTGCCAAAAACTAATCAGCACATCTCCTTATCAATAGGAATCGAATATTTTGGATGGTTGATACATGCGACCGAAAACGTGGACGATAAAATGCAGACATACAAAACACAAACATACATCTATTTTTTCTGGGTTATGCCAAAATGTTCATAAACCTCTGAAACGTGAAGATATGCGATAATTTTCATTTTTCGATTTTCGGCCCATTACTATAACTTACCATACGGGAAGTTAAGTAGTTCTAGTGCCATATTGACAGATTTCAATGGCTCTCACATCGACGTTTTTATGTTTTCAAAAATAACTTTTATATTAACAGTGCTGGGATAAAATAGAAATGTTATGTCACGGGTCTAGAATCGTATGAGTTCGTAGTTACGAACTAACAAAGAGCTATGCCTTTGCTCTTTGATCGATTGTTTCATACGTGAAAGCTAACCTCCAAAACGACATTAACGTGAGAATATTAACTTTAGTTTTTAGTATATGCTATTAAAGTGAAAATAGAAAGTTGCACTTAATATGTGCTGATCAGTTTCTAGCGAAAGCAGGTCCAGTCGTTTCGGAGATATGGATGATAAAATGCAGAAAATAGAAATCGAGTTTTTGAGAGAACGGAGCATCCGATTTAAATTATCCAAAATCATTTTATTCGTAGTTATGGGGAGAAGTGGTAATTAGATTTTGGCAAAGGCAGGTGCAGCTGTTTTGGAGATACCGAGTTCAATGTGCATAAAATTAGAGAGAACTAAACACCCGATTTGAATGATTAAAAAAACTTTCTGTTTGTGTTGACGAAACGATTGCTTTTGGATTTTTTTTTTTTTTTTGAATATCGAAAATAATTCGGATTTTAATTTCAATTCTAGCTATAGTTCTAAGGCTCACTAATATACTTCAAATGCTATTCTATTTCTATAATTGTTATAAATATTAGACAATGTCCTTCATTTTAAATTTGATTAATTGAGTTTTTATAATTTACTTTTCTGTGAACATATAGAAGATACTGTATTTATAATAATCTATCTCAAAATATTTAATATTTCTCGAATATTTCATTACAATACGAAAGTTCCTTAATTTGCCTTAAGGCACGTAGCCATTACCACTCGTTATTTTTTTATAGGACTATAATGTTGTAGAAACTGACATCAATAGCATCGGTGCAGCCGTTTTTGGAAGGCGTCAAGGAATAGTTCACATATGGAATCACACATTCTTTTTAGAATCAAACGATTCAGAATGACTCGACACATCGAGATATCACAAATCGTTTCACACTTGTATTTTCGAAGTTATTAGTATTAACAAAAAAAAAATTCTGTCACTATGCCAAGTTTCATTAATTAAAAAGAAACGATCTTGCCGATTTTTTCGAAAAACTATTCAGCACGATTTCTAACTTATTCTTTAATGTTGACAAATTATTTGCATTTTTTACTAATTATAAAAGAAAAGTTTTGTTTTTAACGAGTTTTATCAATTGGTGATTAAATTTTTCGAAATCTGTGTGACCGTTTTTAAGAAAGCAAGCGTCAATGAAAAGTTCACGTACGAAATCACACATACTTCTTGGAATAAAACGATTTAGAATGACTCGACACATTGAGATATCACAAATCGTTTCACAATTGTATTTTCGAAGTTATTAGTATTAACAAAAAAAATTCTGTCACTATGTCAAAATTCATTAATTAAAAAAAAGCGGTCTTGTTGATTTTTTCGAAAAACTATTCCGCACAATGTCTAACTTATTCTTGTTTTCGCAATTTTTTGCTAATTATTAAAAAAAGATTTGTTTTTAACGAGTTTTATCAAATGGTTATTAAATTTTTCGAAATCTATGCAGCCATTTTTGAGAAAGCAAGCGTCAATGAGAAGTTCACATATGGAATCACACATACTTCTTGGAATAAAACGATTTAGAATGACTCGACACATCGAGATATCACAAATTGTATCATTACTTGTATTTTTGAAATTATTAGTATTAAAAAGAAACGGTCTTGCTGATTTTTTTCGAAAAACTATTTAGCACGATTTCTAACTTATTCTTTAATGTTGTTTAATTATTCACAATTTTTTGCTAATTGTAAAAGAAAAGTTTTGTTTTTAACGAGTTTTATCAAATTTAATTTTTTTCGAAATCGGTTACGCCGTTTTTGAGAAAGCAAGCGTCAATGAAAAGTTCGCATATGGAATTACACATACTTCTTGGAATAAAACGATTTAGAATGACTCGACACATCGAGATTTCACAAATCGTATCATACTTGTATTTTCGAAATTATTAGCATTAACAAAAAGTTTCTTTATTACTATGCTAAGTTTGATTAATTAAAAAGAAGCGGTCTTGTTGATTTTTTCGAAAAACTATTCAGCACGATTTCTAACTTATACTTTAATGTTGACAAATTATTCGCATTTTTTGATAATTATAAAAGAAAAGTTTTGTCCTTAACGAGTTCTATCAAATGGTTATTAATTTTTTCGAAAACTAAGCAGCCGTTTTTGAGAAAGCAAGCGTCAATGAAAAGTTCGCATATGGAATCACACATACTTCTTGGAATAAAACGATTTAGAATGACTCGACACATCGAGATATCACAAATCGTATCATACTTGTATTTTTGAAATTATTAGTATTAAAAAGAAACAGTCTTGCTGATTTTTTCGAAAAACTATTTAGAACGATTTCTAACTTATTCTTTAATGTTGTTTAATTATTCACAACTTTTTGCTAATTATAAAAAAAAGTTTTGTTTTTAACGAGTTTTATCAAATGGATTTTAA